AGAAAGGCCGGCTACTTCATCTCGAAAGGGCAGCTATAATGACCTCTCTGTTCACTACAAAATCTCTTCCATAGTCTGAACTATAGACTATTTCACGTCACATTACAAAAAATGCCGGCGTGTCTAAATCGCCCCCCGGTGGGGTACTTTGTAGAATCCCCCACCGGTCGGGGATTGTCACCCTACAAGGCACCAATGGGTAGGACATGCACAACTGTGTTGCTATGTTGTGGGGCTACCGTGGGCTCCATCATACAGCCAAAAACGGTTCAGGTTTCGTGCAGCCATGGCTGATGGGGAAATTCATCAGCTGCCCCAACCTGCCCCAATTGTGGGTACATTGACTTGAACACCCCACCAGCTGCATGTAGCCCTGCAAAGCTCCAATCGAGAAACAAACACCGATAGGAGTGTGTGGTACATGCACGCACAGCACGCAGCAGCGGATAGCAGTCGAGGCGGCGAGCAAGCACATCAAGTATTCCCACCGCACGACCTCGAACGCGTCAAGTCCAAGTGGAAACACTGCAATCTCACTGGTGGAGTCTGAAGCCTTGCTTACCCCACCAGTTGTACATCGTCCTACAAGACTCCAATCGATTCCGGACATGCACGGGAGCGTTGCTGCGTTGAAGGAGTATTATGGGACCCGTCGTGAAGCCGAAACAGTACAGGTTTGGTGCTGCCACGGCTGGTGGGAGGACGTTCGCAGCTACCCCACTGGTGGGGTACATGGTCTTGCCAACAATCTCCACCACCTCAAGCTCGCCCTACAGGATTCCGATCGACAAAGGACGTGCTCAACCGTATTGTGTCTGGCAGATCTGTCGTGGGACCCATAATTATGCCCAAGGAGCTCCGTGTCGGGGGGCAAACTGCGCATGTGCTCACCGATGGGGCGGATAAGCCTTGAATACCGCACCACCTGGATCGCAACCTCACCAGGACTTGCATCACAAGCACAAGCACGGTGGTTGGAATGTGTAGTTGATGACAAAGAACAGGACGAGGGGAACAGATCATTCAACAACCGGGCAGCCTCAAGCACATGAAGTGGAAACTCGAAAACGGCCTTCTCCCATCTTCCAGACGGAAGCAACCAACACCCGGGCGCTTTGACGAAACAATCCGTCTGGCCGAAGTCGGAAATGCCGGCTGGAACGGTGGCTACTTCGACAAATATCCACTCGGTGGTATGGATGTGGATAGATTGTTTGTGTCCCCCAGGCATAATCGCGTTACGCGCGTAGTAAAAAAAGTGAACGATTCCGATGATTGACAGATGGCACGACTCTGTTGTTCGTACCACGCTGCCTCGAGAGATTATGAACGCAGACAGATGGCATGTATCTTCTGCACAATGTGTGGTGGCTGGGATTCTGTTTCGACTCCTTCGTCTCGGTGTCGGGTTGGCAATCTAATTGATCTGTTAGTAAACTAAGTCTGTAGTTAGGACACGATTAGCACATTAGACCAGTGTAACCCCGTTAGACCAATCTAACCCTACCCCTATCCTGTAACATTTGGCGAATAAACGGCGTGTCAAATCCCCCCCGGCTGTATCTCTGCCCACAAGGCACCAATCGAGGCAGGACATGCACGACTGTGTTGCTGTGTTGTGGGGCTATCGCGAGACCCATTGCACAGCCGAAACCGGTCAGGTTTGATGCAGCCATGGCTGATGCGCAAGATATATCTGTTGCCCCAACCTGCCCCTCGAGGGGGGATTAGTCCCTAAACACCTCCTCGGCTGTATCTCTGTCCACAAGGCACCAATCGAGGCAGGAGATCCACGACTGTGTTGCTGTGTTGTGGGGCTCTGGGGCTGTCACGAGACCCATCGCACAGCCGAAACCGGTCAGGTTTGATGCGGCTATGGCTGATGGGCAAGACATATCTGTTGCCCCAACCTGCCCCCCGGGGGGGAATTGGTCTCTAAACACCCCCCCCGCTGTATCTGTGCCCACAAGGCACCAATCGAGGCAGGACATGCACGACTGTGTTGCTGTGTTGTGGGGCTATCGCGAGACCTTCCGTACAACCGAAACGGTTCTGGTGTGGTGTAGCCATGGCTGATGGGCAATATGTATATATGTGTTGCCCCAACCTGCTCCACTGGTGCGGTACATGTCCTCTTAATACCCCACCAGCTGCATGTTGCCGTACAAGGCTCCAATCGACTGACAAACACCGGTAGAAGTGTGAGGAACATGCACGCACGGCACACAGCAGCGGGCAGCAGGTGGGACGAACAGCACATCAAGTATTCCTGCCCACAGCTTTACACACACCCAGTGGGAACCGAAGACTGTCTTCTCCTCACTGGTGAGGTACAATAGCCTTGCTTACCCCCCAGCGATATCTCGTCATAAAAGACTTCAGTCGACACAGGACATGTCCAACAGGGTTCTGTTCAGGTGGTAACACAGCGGGTGGGGTAAACTACGGATGAGCCCCTGCGGGAGGAGGGGGTGGGGGTGTCTAATACCCCACCATGGACCTCGCACCTCTGTACAAGGCGCCGGTGGCCACGCAAGAACCGTAGTGGAAGTGTAAAGATGATGAACGCACAACCCACAGCACAAAGCAGCACTGCGCCACTGCTGTGATCGCTATGTGTATTCGTTGTACAGTGCCCAAATGCAACCTTCATCGCATCAGCGAATAATGACCCATTCGTTTGGTCTCGCTCGCCAAAAAAAAACACGCAGCAAACAATCGCAAACAATCGCAAACGACAACAAAACGGAAAGTAAACATTGTGAGAGATAGATGACGAACGTATGTATGTTCGCCGCCACGAACGTGTTGCCTCCCGGTCGTCCCTGCGACGTGCAAGTCAGACTAAGGTACACGCCGTTTGTTCATACCGGCCGTTTCCATACATTCTGTCTGAAAACAAACAGACTGCCTGATTGGTGCTTTGTGGGAAGAGATGAAGCCGGGGGGTGTTTAGACACTAATAACCCCCCCCCCCCCGGGGGGCGATGGGTGCGTATTAAGCTGTGGGCAGGAATACTTGATGTGCTGTTCGCCTCACCTGCTGCCCGCTGCTGTGGGCCGTGCGTGCATGTTCCTCACACTCTACCGGCGTTTGTCAGTCGATTGGAGCCTTGTACGGCAACATGCAGCTGGTGGGGTATTAAGAGGACATGTACCGCACCACCAGTGGAGCAGGTTGGGGCAACAGATGTATATTGCCCATCAGCCGTGGCTGCACCAAACCTGAACCGTTTCGGTTGTACGGCGGGTCTCGCGATAGCCCCACAACACAGCAACACAGTCGTGCATGTCCTGCCTCGATTGGTGCCTTGTGGGCACAGATACAGCCGAGGGGGTGTTTAGAGACTAATCCCCCCCCGGGGGGCAGGTTGGGGCAACAGATATATATTGCGCATCAGCCATGGCTGCACCAAACCTGAACCGTTTCGGCTGTGCGATGGGTCTCGCGATAGCCCCACAACACGGCAACACAGTCGTGCTTGTCCTGCCTCGATTGGTGCGTTGTGGACACAGATACAGCCGGGGGGGTGTTTGAGGGCAGGTTGGGGCAGCAGTATATATATCTTGCCCATCAGCCATGGCTGCACCAAACCTGAACCGTTTCGACTTTACGATGGATCTCGCGAGAGCCGCACAACACAGCAACACAGCAGTCGTGCATGTCCTGCCTCGACTGGTGCCTTGTGGGCAGAGATACCGCCGGGGGACTAATCCCCCCCCGGGGGGGGGATTGAGACATGACGGGCGAATGAAGAATACCCGCACGAGTTCGAATGTCGGATGTATCGCTAGACTTTCCAAAAAGTGCACCTAGAAGTGCCTACAGCAAGCAGTAGTAGTTGAACCATCGGAAGACTGGCGAGGGGTACGTCCCTGGAGATCTCTACTCTAAATCCCAGTGATTAAAGCCGCAACCCCAGTGATCCAGGCGGGTGCTAGCAAGCTCTGAGCATATTTTTAATTCTCCAAGGGTTACACATGGCTACACCAGTAGATCAGTCGGACTGGTCTATGTAATGGTGTAATCTTTGGCGAATAAAGCCTGCCTGCAAGAAGAGAGAAGACAGTGTTCGACTTCCACTGACTGGGCGTATTTGGAGCTGTGTGGCTGGAATACTGGACGTGCTCGCCGCGTCACCTGCTGTCCGCTGCTGTGTGCTGTGCGTGCATGTATACCAAACACTCCTACCGGTGTTGTTTCTCGATTAGGGCTACGTGCACAGACAGCTGGTGGGGTGTTCAAGGACATGTACGCCATCGGTGGGGCAGGTTGGGGCAGCTGATGAATTTCCCTCGATCAGCCATGGCTGCACCAAATCTGAACCGTTTTGACTGTACGATGGGTCCCACGATAGCCCCACAACACAGCAATACAGCAGTTGTGCATGTCCTATGTATGCCCATTGGTGCCTTGTACATAAGGCGAGATACATACGTACATACAGCTGGTGGGGTACACAAGGGTACACACTAAATAAAGTACGCTCTGTAAGTAATTCCAACCGGTGGGGGATTTACGAAACACGGAGGTGGGATTTAGACACGCCGGAAAACTGTTCGTCGGTTCTAGAAAGTCGCCGAGGAGATCCAGTTTGCAATTTGGGAAATAGTTTGCCTACTGGCTATACGCTACCGGCCTCCCGCGTGTTGGGCCTCGGGCCTATTTCTCGCCCTGAAAGTCTGAAACAACCAAGCAAGAACACAACTTCATTTTGATGTTTGAACAGATTCACCAAAACGCTACAGCAGCAGTATCACACATCGCGGCGTGAGGCCAATCCAATTCTTGTTCTTCTTTCGGCCACATCCGCAGTAGATGCCAGAGCGTATCATCCCGAGCTTGTTCGTGTCCACGGTGTCTTCTACATATATATCCGGGGATTCGGATCAAAAACGGTGAAACCGCTCGGCGCCGAAAGGTTTGTGTCTCCTCGGTGTGTCATGACGTCACGTGACGTCACGTCGGCACGAACATCAGGATTCCCCCCGCAGAACTCCACCGCAACCTTTGGCGCATGACATTCGGGTGCTCAGTACGCAACACTGCGACGAGCTTTCCGGCGTACTGAGGAAAGGTCCTTACACGACGGTTACCGGACGTCTCTTCCGAACCTTCGCTGTAGGGTAGCGCACGGCGGGGGATCCTTCCTACATGTGCGTACTCTTTGACATCTCTGATGATGGTAGGATGAAGAGCTTTCTCGGTACCCTTGCAGATGCAAACCTTGCATCTACCATAGAGTACAGCAGTAGCACAGTCGTGTTCACATCATCGATGGCGCCCATCTTTCCGCTTGCTTCCTCGTCTCCTGCAGTAGTGCACTGTCGTACTGTACAGGAGTAGGGATCTTCCCGCGCGTTCACCGCGGTCATGCCCTAGGCTGCAGCGTCGTCCGAAGCAGCGGTGGGTTTGAGGTACGAAAGGGCACCTGCTCTACTGATGGCACAGACACTCGTGTTTTCCTGCTACTTCCACCGTCCGTTCAACGTCGTGATAGAGCCACAACCTACCCTGAACAAGAGCGAACAACGACGCTTGAACCATACACGCAGGATTACGGACACGGGCTAGAGACTTGGACCATGAGTTCGCGGGAAAAGGGGAGCGCGTCTACGGACAGCAGTAGTCGGATGCGCAGGAGCTGCTGTGAATGTGCGCGGCACAAAAAGAAGTGCGATGGCCTAACGCCTTGCAGGTGTGTCATGTATGATTTATGGTGAGATGAACCTTGTGCATGATCTTGCTGTTGGAAGTGATGATGCTCCTCTTCGTCTTATGCGGGTTTGTTACGGGTCTTGCAGCATGTTATAACAGGAAGTGTCAACAGTTTCCGGGTAACTTCTACCCAAGACCACAATGCGGAGGAAGCAACGGATATACACAGAAAGGATGAGTCTAAATTGCCCCTCCTGTGGTGGCGCCGCTCTACCCTTTGTGCTCAGCCTTCTTACCAAGGAGAGCAATAGACTCAATCGACTTCAAGTTGAGGTTGCCTTGTAACGCTACAGCAGTAGAGCTGGCGACTTGACCAAAAGTGGTGGTCTCCATGTCGGAATATGTTTGCCGCTTCCTTTCCTTGATACTGAGGCTACCGCCTTCTCCCACGGTAGTATGAGTTGTCTGGTACCTGTTAACGCAGGACCATGTAGATGACATTAAACCTTGATTATTAGACACCGTGCTCCTTCCAGCACACAGAAGTATAGTCTAGAGCAAAAGTTCAGTCAGGATACAGCAGTGAACACATGTATGCTTACGTGCTCTCTCTCGTAGGGCCCCGCTGTTCGGGGTGTTGCCGCGTGTACTGCGCTATCACGCTCGCGGGCTCTTGTCAAGAGCGTTTCTGCACAAAGGATTGACTCAAGTTCCTTGTATTCGCGAGTGACAGACATGAGCAAGGAGCAAAGCCTGCTGGCGCCAAGTGTATCATACCCATACAGGAAGGAGTATATCACATCTGCGTGACCTCATCGGAGATCTCGGAGATCTGTATCCTGCCGAGTACACACACAGCGACACCTTGGACCCCAAACAGCATACGTACCCCCCCAAGAATCGTCCTCAGATCGGACATTTTATCCAAGTACCCCAAACAGACCCCCTATTTACTTGATATGTACACGTACCAACCAAGTCGATTTTTTGTGCTTTTGTTCTTCTTCTTCCGAGGCAAGCGCTTTTTCTCACACTTTTTTCTGCATGGCACTCAGAGGACCTGTCGGTATATTACCCGTTGCGTGTGGGGCTCGCTAGACATCGGTGGTGCGTGTGATGGCCGCTGAAAAGTCGCTGGTACTGGCTCCATTCCAGGTCGCGATTCCGAACCAAAAAAGCATTCATGAAAACTTGGAACCTAATTCTTTGTATTGGCGGGCTGTTGTTCTTTTCGCACACAACACGGCCACACCACCAGCAGTTAGAAGTGGTAGACATCCACATAAACACGGTGCAAACAAAAGGTTTCGATCCACTTACTGAAAAGACGTCACCACATCCCTTTCGACTGAGGTTATATCTCGAACGGGTAGTCTTTCTGTGAGGTTATGTTCACTTAAAAAAAAAAGGAAAACCAGGGGTGTGTGGCAGAGAAGCAATATTGAAAAACGCGCAGCGCGGCTGTCCCACGCAGGCACACAGGTGATGCGTGCTGTGTGCTGCTGTGGTGCATTACAACAGCAGCGCAACATTTCTAAAAAAATCAGAACACAGTACTTGTAGTTACACAGTAGTTCCGGTAGGCTGTATTTCTAGCAGTTCACACACATCACGTTCACCTGTTGTGTAGACACCCACGCAACAGGCGGTGCGAACTAAATACGGTGCAAGCACAAGATTCAGCTGTAGGGTTGTAGGACAGCAGCATTCGCATTGCATACATAGCTAAACGCGGATGTTGCAGGCCACACAGATGATGTGCATACAACTCTTCATTAAAAGAGGGAGTTATTGGCGGGGCATTTTTCGACGCGGTTTCGAACCTCGGCAACGACATTTATTTTTTCTTTGTTTTGTTTTGTACTGAACCCTTGCATAGTATAAAACGCTGAGGCTTTCTCCCTCACGCATATTGTATGTGTAGGTCGATCATTTACTATGCTATGTGTTTTCATACACATTGCCGTGAACATTTCCGTAGCGTTCTGAGAGTTAGAGACGAGACAGATTGCGCATTGCCCCGATCGTAACAGGTTGGCATATTTTAGTCAATGCGCGATGACAGTGATTGTCCGCCTCCAAAGAGAAAGGCGGCACTGCAGTTCAGGTGTTTTTAGGCCTTTTCGTTTAGCGTCACCCCCGGGAGGCATGCTCTGACCTCCCGGAACGGGGAACCTGTACAATTACGATCTTGAAGTCCTTTGTGAATAGATACCCACAATACAGAACCGCAAATACCCACTCGAAACATCCTTTACAAAAAATGACTACGCATTGCAGGATGGCAGAAAAAGAATTTTGACGCTGGCTCTATTTAAATACTTCGATCTAGTACAACAAACGAAAACAACCATCCCGCCGGAGGAACCTGGTGCGTTCTACTGTGATCGGTAGAGGACACCAGGAAGAGGCGTCGTTCGTGCTGGCATGTGCAGGTTACTGGAGCTGAATTATCGAAGGTCGCAGCTGCCTCTCAGAACAGTCCGTAATCTGCGCCGGAACCAAGCGGAATCCAGCATTTGTCACAGCCGTGCTCACCTCCACGGAACGTAAACCCCTGAACGGAGGGGGTTCAACAGTAGCTGGTGGCATCAGCTACTACTGCTGTAAACCCGCAGTTAAGGAGGTTGGGGTCAGTGGCGGCGAGCACAAGCAGTACAGGATGGGTGTCGGTCTAATTTGCGGAGATTTGCAGAGATTGTAGGCCACCACCGTTCGAAGCTCTGGCACCGGTATGTGCCGTGCGGACTTGGGGTTGCTGTTTGACTGTGTGTACTAGCTCGCAAGAGAGAAGACATGAAGGGGAGAGAGAGAGAGAAGGAGGCGGAGGAAGAGGAGGAGAAAGAGTGGCCCAAACGTCGACAGAAAATGGGGACTCCGCCATATACCTCCAGGAACATTCCAACCGCGTCCTACGTAAC